GAACAAAAGTCAAACATTCTAAAGATTACTTTTTTGTTTTTTCACCAGACTTTATTTTTTATTATTTAAAAATTACCAAAATTCTTTACTGATAAAAATTAATTTTAGCTATCAATTACTGTTATCAATTTTTTTTCAAATTAATTCAGGTTTTTAGGACAGTTTTTTAAAATGTATTATACGAATTTTCAACTTTACAATAATCAGATATTTTAATCGTTTGAAAAGGACTACAAATTGAAACAAACTTTTGCAATCAAACGACAGAATTTTTGATTATATTTAAATAATTAATTAGTATAAAATTTTATATTTGGAATAAAAATGTTCTTCATAAATTTTTATTTCAATTTCAATATTTAAAGTATTGATGTAAAATATTAATATTTGTATATAATATTACATTTTTAATTTGGCTTTAGTTTGTGACTGAAAACTGTATCATCAATTTATTCTAGCAGTTTTATGTGGAGAATATATGTGCAAAGTTTCAATCAATAAATCTCATAACTTTTTTAAAGAACTTCAAAAATGCAAACTGTTAATTTTTTAAAAAAATGCTAAATTTTTGGCATTGATTTTTTGATATCAATTTTTATTTGTAAATTTAATATTTTAATTCATAATCAAAATTATGCTTTGTTAATTTTTAACAGTTTGTCTATTGTTTATTGTACTTTTTAAACTCTTCAAAACTTTTGAATGTGTTGTATTTTTAAATTACATTAAATTTATGCAAATTATGAATTTACAGTATACAGTATGAAAAGCTTTATCGAAGTGTAAAAATTTTACAACACTAATGTATAATGCATAATAAAATATTTGTGATTTAATATGAATTTTATCATACATGCAAATTCAGTAGCAAATAAATTTTTAAGTAAAAAATCATTAAATGCCATAATTTAAACTAGAAATTAAATTTGTTGCATATCGGAATTCATATAAAAAATTAATGATCAAAATAATAGCAACCAGGTCAGTACTACGTAATTTATTTTTAACGAGTTTATGAAAGTGGATGGATCATCACATTTCATGAAATCATTGGTATCACATTGATTAGTGAACTGCTTAAAATATTTAATTAATCAATCAATTGATCAATCAATCAATCCAATCTTTAAATGGCAAACAAAATTCCAATTCACTGAATAGTTTATTAGAATATTCTGCAAATTAAAAATTTTTATTTATTTAATATTAGAATTTCAAAATTTACAAAAATATGTTTATGCAAATTTTTACAAAAAACTTTTTAAGTTATAAAAATTGAGAAAAACTTTAAAAACAATAATAATCCACAAAGTAGATCATTGTGTCACAGTAATTTTGAATATTAATCTTAAATGTCTTTTCTATTTTTACAAAATTAATTGCTGGCTAATACGTGTGTATGTAGATATAACCGAATCTAAATCAAATCTTTTGTGGCTTAACTTTTTCTTTGTGAAAGTAAAAGTTTCAAACTGAATTTTTCGATTCAAGTTAAATGTATTTATCCATTATAATTTGCAAATATGCAAATTAGCTTCCTAACTCTGACCTATTGTGATCAATGAATTTAATTAGTTTCAACTAACTACCTCCAAGGTCAATTGTGTGCACAAAAAAATTTTTGAAAATATGCCTAATTTACTGTCAAAGAAAGTAAAGTAGATGCATCTTAGGCAAAGAAAAAAAGGAAATGGCCATAAAAGATTTCTGCGAAAATAAACAGAAACTCTCTTCCAGGTACAATTCACGCATAAACGTTTCTGCTGCTTTTTTTGAATTACGCTAGCCATCGTTTACGATCATAATTCATGTAATTAAGATGTCCGCCTTTGAAGTCAACCTATTTCCTGCTTTGAGTTTGACGACGCCGTCTTCTCAGGCAACAATTATTTCCTGTGCAAGGCAAATATCCTGTTGCACAGTGGCAGTCGGGGTTGTTCCCGTGGATACAGTTTGCCATGGCAGGTAACTGTTCAGGATTTTGCTGTTTGATACAAGCAGGAGCACATAATGGTTGACACTGTGGCACGCAGTTCATTGATTCCGTTGCCTGAAGTGAAATTTCACTGAAATTGACGGAAAATTGATGTTAAATATCAAGATTTGCAAAACGGTTTGTATCATTAAAACGTTTTCACTCGAAAAAAACCAACTTGAATAATTTGGCTTCTATTATCACAGAAATCCATGGTCACTACGAATAGTAATTCACGTCACGTTCAAGCTTTTCTATCAAGTTATATGATAGATAGCAATAATTACCTGACAGGGAGTACCACATGCCTGCATGTTTGATTGCTCTGATTGCACTATATTGGATCCGGACGTAAAACCTAGGCAAGATTGCTGACAGGTGGTAAAGCATTCTTGCACGCAACGTGCATTCTTTTCGCAATTAGACTGACATGTTGGTAAACAAGTTTTGGCACAGGCGTGAGCTTTTTCAATGCACTGCGCAGTGCAGCTAGGTTCACAAAATGTTGGACATGAATGTGAAGAATCAATTGATCCTATTTGTTCTGCACAATTTGACACACAACGTGAAACTCCATTTTGCAATAGCGTCTCCGAATTATGTGCGTGAGAATTTTCATACTGCGTACATTGAGCATCACACATTGGCTGGCATGCGGGCACGCAAGCTTGCTGTATGCATTCTATATTACACGTCGGTTGACATTCCGGTGTGCATTGTTGTTGTTCAGTGTGTGCAAGAACAAGAATTTGTTCCCGTTGACGTTGAATACATTCTGGAGAACAAAGTGGTTGACAAGCTGTGACACAAGCTTGTTGTACGCAATGTGCCGAACAATCAGGCATGCATTTCTGTACACAGTGTTGCTCAGGTAGACGTGGCTGAGGTGGTGGTCGAAGAGGGTGCGGTGTTCCTTGCTGGAAAATATGTATAACTTGGTTTTGCGTATGTTTCACGCAATTTGAATCACACATTGGTTGACAAGCAGGAGGACAAACTTGCTCGATGCATTGCGGTTCACAGTTTGGCATGCAAACCACTGTGCATTTTCTATCTTGTTTGAAGCTGTTTGACCCACAGAATGGTATATTGTTGCAATCTTGTGTACGTGCATTACAGTTTGGTGGACAATTTGCATGATCTTCAGGGGTCATTACAATGATTGAAGATTCATCATTACTTCCTCTTAAGAATGGCATATATGATTCAAAATTAAGTACTGCTGGATTCACATTTGGTAGCATTTGTTTGGGTTGAAATTGTTGTATACATTGTGATTCACATAATGGCATACAGGAACCGATGCACTGCTAAATATGCAAAATATCTAATTAAAAAAACAAAAAAAGTAATAACTACAATAAATTACTCTTAAAGTTGTAAATATAATTCGCATTGGGAAAACAAATAATTGCTTTTATATTTTTAATTTAACAAGATTTACAAAAAGTATTTTGATTTCGCATCGAAATATTTTTTGTCAAGATTACGTGTAGATAAACTAATCCGATAAAATGTAAGTAAACGTAATTACAAGAGATGTTACCTGTTGAAGTTGTTGTTGAGGTATGTAATTACTGTAAATTTGTTGTTGCTTCTGAAGGCACTGTAATGAACAGTCAGGCATGCAAGCAGGCGTACAGCGCATGCCTTGCTGTGCACAATTGCAAGTCGCCTAAAACATAAAAAAAATTTTAATAGTAATTCAATAATTTAAAATTAGTTAATTCTAATTAAAGCCATTGCTTTTGTAATTGCTTTAATTACAAGAATACTTCAATTATTTTTGTTTTTCAAATTTTTTGAAAATAAAATTTTTAGTAAATAAAAAATTTTAGTAAATAAAAAATGTTTGCCAGAAAAACATTTGTTCTTTAAGTAAATTTTTTCATTTTTAATTTTGTAAAAAGAGTTTTTTTCTTTTCAGCTTTGCAAGAGACTAATATATTCAATTTAATTTTGGCACATTTTTCACTGCAGAAATTTTTTGTGCAGAAATCACAGTTCAAAGTCTGGAAGTAATTAATCTAAAATTGCAATATTATTACAAATTTTAATTAGTATTAATATTACAAAAAAGATGATGTTAGGCTTTTAGACATTAAATTTATGCATAAATTAACGTCATAAGTAAGTGGTCCACATCTGCAATTTGCATATTGTTCTTGCAGTGCGGCGCAGTTACAATTTGGTTCCATAACTGATGAGCATCCACATTTACTTTGTTGAATATTAGCACAATCACAAAGTTTTACCTATAAAATTTCCTAGTAATTAGAGCTAAAATAAGCTAAAAACAGTAACTGCATACTTTATTTTTGTTTTGGAATAGAATAATTTTAATTAAACTGTACGATTGTCTCTGACTTTGAAGTAATTTGTCAAAATTAAATGCAAAAAATGTCCTCAAAATCAAAGGCTATTCAAAATAGTTAATTGAAATTAATTTATCCGTAATTTAAGCTTATAATTTCAGCTTAATAATGTTTAATTATATGACTAAATTACAGGAATATTCGACTCGTTTTATTAGAGTGAAATAAACCAGATCTCAGAGCCTAATGTATGCCAACTCTTATGGAAAATATTTTAAGATATGAAACTATTTTTGATTTGTACTCATTTTTATAATAACTGATTAAAAATTATAATTCGTTTGTTCTATGCAAAAATTGTATATCAATTAATGGTTTGCTTAGTCTTATGCAAATTCTATGTGAGTGGTTCTTTGGTTGTAAAGATGTAAAATATGCTCTATAATAATAATAAAGTGAAGTTTTAATTTTTTATCAAATAGTGAAAGAAAACTAACTTGCATTAGTAAATTAGCACAGTTGCATGAAAATTCTTGTTGTAGCGCTGGCACAGGTTGTATCGGTTGAAATGGTACCATATGAGCTGGTTGTGGTATTAAGTAGGTAGACTGTGGCATCACTTGGTGGAAATCTGATAACATTTGTATCGATTGTGGTAGCACTTGCGTTAATTGTGATACCATCGGTGCTGATTCTGATGGTGTGCAGCATGGAATCATTTGCATGCAACAATGTCGCTTTGCTCTTGCAACAGTGATAGACGCATCCTGCAAAATACCAAATTACAGTTTCTTAGTTGATCAAAAAATCAAACAGTTCAAGCAGTCAATTTTTGATAATGATAATTTTAAAACGTTAATAGTATATATGTTTAAAATGTATATTTTGTTTAGAAATAATTTAATTTGATAGTAGCAATCAAATTTATTAATTAATTGCCTTATTCTTGCGATTTTATCCATTCTACCTCTGTACTTCATTTCAACTCCAAATTTGATGTTACTTTAATAATTTAATTTTAAATACAAATATTTTCGTATAAAATTATGTAAGCAAACAAAAATTGAGTATAACACACGCAACTGATAATCTAATCGCATAATTTTACTAATATTAAATGTTCAATTATCTATCAGAATTTGAAATTTGAACTTATAATTAGGTATTACTTTTAAAAAGAAAAAAATTTAAGTATTAAAATAATTGAAAAAGTTTTGTAGAGTAGTAAAAAAAATTAATACAATTGTCACAGTACCAAACTGATTTAATTAAAAGAGTGACATTTATCGGAGTGTGTAAACAAACTTTACGTTGTTTTGATCACGATCTTATTTCAGGTTGAGTAAATAAACAAAGTCATCGAGGAAACAACGCTTTAAAAAATAAACAAATAAGAACTTGAATTTGTTAAGTGGATTTAAATTTCATTTCACATTCGAATTTATGCTAAGATTGATAAATATCGAAAAAAATGAAGTTCAAAGGTTAATTTTTTGTTTAATTTTTTAATTTACTTTTTTATTTAGTAAAGTTTATTCAAAGAATTTCCTTTTTGTTTTTATGCTTGAAAAATGTTTTATACTTTACTTAATTTTTAATTAAATAACAGATAATTACTCATTTTTGCTTTCTAATCTTTATTTGATGAATTTGTGATTTTTACAAATATTGAAGAACTTTTTGATTAATTAATTTTAGTTTTTAATGAGTGTAATCAATAGTTGCTGATCTCTAAATTCCACTATCAGTATCAGTATAAGCAATTGTGATCACTGACATGACAAATGTTATCCAAGTTGTCACAAGTACAATGATAATAGTGATAACAGTGATAATAATAATAGCAACATTGATAAAAATGATAATAATAAATAACAGTTAAACATACCTTTTCAGCCACAGTTTTCAACACTCCCAATATGAAGCAATGCACCATCAAATGATAATTCATATCTGTTAACAACAATAATAGATAATAGCATAATATGTTACTTGCAAATAAGAGTCAAAGTTCAAAAAAAAACTCCGTCCCAATTTTGTGGAATAAAAGTTGAATTTTAGCAAATTTCAATCTTTGGCAATATTTTTGCTAATCTTTTTTTCAAATTTAAATTTTTTTATTTTTGCTTTATTTTTTGCAATATTTTTTTGCTAAAAACTGTTTCAATTAAACTCAAAAACTTGAAATGCAATAATAATTTTGATATTATTTTTTAAGCACAAAAAATTGCAAAAATTTTTTAAAAATCTTGTAAAATATTTAAATTAAATGTTTAATTAATAGCTAAAATTGATTGAGACTAAAAGACTATTTGATAAATTTTTTCATTAGCTCAAACTAAAATGAATGAATTTGAGCAAAGCCATCAAATCGTAAAGTTTCTTCTAGCTTAAATATCAAAACAGTATTCAGAGGTGTGGCATCGAAAGTCGAGAAATTTAAATTGTCAAAAGTTCGTGTCTTTCGACTAAACAAGACTTTTAAATTTATGCTAGCAGTATTACTAATACTGGTATTTCTACTAGTAATACCAATACCACTACTGCCAATACCAATACCTTTGCTTCTATTACTAGTACTTACTTATATTTACAGCACACAATGCTAAAGTATTTCTGAAGCAAAAGAAATTCTATTCTAATTTATGCAAATAAAGTGATTTAAAATGTTGCGCATAATACTGAATGAGAAAACAGTTTGACTATATAATATGTAGTTAGTTCTTGGCAAATCTGACATAAAATTATTTCAGTAATTTATACATCTTCAATTTAAGTAAATATTATTACCAAATAAAATGAATTAAATCAAATATACTTAAGTTTAAGCAAAAAAAAAAATTTAAACAAAACGTTTTGTAAATATTAAATTTATAAATTTGACTTTTTTAAACTTTTACGTAAAACATTTACGTGAACTTTGAATTTTTTTACAGTAAATTTTATTCTTCTTACAATACTTTTCTTCATAAAAAAGTATTGTAAGAAGCAGCTTTATTATTTAAAAAAATAAATAAATAAATTATGAATTGCCTTGAGAAATAAAAATGACAAGTATCAAACACGTAAGAGTTAAAATTAACACTGACTGATTCTAAACAGTTTTTTTTCTTGATCAGAAGGTTTTTATGTGACAAAAATGAGGTAAAAAAACTTTAAAACGCAAATTTCAGATTTATGAAAAATTTTTTAAAGTTTTAACAATCAAAAATTTTTAAAAAATTTTTATCGTTTTTAAAATTAAAAAAAAATTGACGTTGTTTGTATATTTTTAATTAAAACATATTAATATTACATTTTTTATTTTTATTTATTTATTTAAGTGACTTTTTACATCACAAAGTTTTAAAAAATGTATTCAGAAATGAAGCTTTACAATAATTATGAATAGTGAAGACATTTTCTCCGATTCAACTTGTCATGCCTTGAAAGCTTTTGACGCCAAAGAATATTCAAATTTACGAACTTTTATTATTTGTTTTTCAACATTATAAACCATAATTAACAAAATTTCTATGATATAAAATCAAATATGTCACAAAAATAAAACAGGCGGGAAAGTGACCTAAAAATAAATATTTCTGAATGAATCCTTTCATAAATCCATGTGTGTGTGTGCTTTTTATGAGAGTAAATGACAGTATATCATCAATTAATTATAATAAAATGATTATAAATTAATTCCAATTAATTCTGATGAAAATAATATACAATAGTGATTAACAATTCAGCAGTGTGCATATCAAAAAGCACAGTTATTTGCTTGAAGATAAAATATACAAAATGTAATGCAA